AGAAAGTGTTTGATAGATGTCTAGCATCTGTCTCGCTCGCGCCTTTCCTTTGTGTCTTTATAAGCGCTGCAGTGGATATGCATTTTTGCCCTTAGGGGAAAGGTCTACATGTGGTGATTGTTTTTATCTATTACCCCTTTGTTCCATCATCATCAAGTGTCCATTAAGCTCCCGTTTTGGCTCTGCAGCTGTGCTGCTACAGTTCACGGGGGAGCAATTTAATTTTTACCAGTAAATTGTTTGTACAAGGATAATCATCTTTGTTCCACAAGTGTCATCTCTCCATACTGATGTGTGAAACCTGCGCTTTTAAATAAACAGCCTCCTTTGTTGTTTTAGTGTCAGATTATGACGCGACATAAAGCGAGCGTGATGTCAGTGGTTGCTATTTTGGGGCATTTCTTTCAGGTTATGTCTTCTCCCACATGAACGCTGGATCTGAATGCGTGGGAACAGGTTTTACGTATATGTAGATGAAAAATTCAGTCTGCCTTTAAACACATACTAAATCAAATGATCTCTCTAGGCAGATTAATGAGTCATCAGTTGCATCCATTTTTTCTTTTTTCTCTTTTTCGTTCACTTCATTAATAAAAGCTCTGAGCAAGACTAAAAGATTTTGCTACAACACGCACTGTAGTAGATCAGGATAAGTGCCTAACAGGTTTGTGTTATTCTTCCAGATGGGACACTTCACCTTAACAAGAATGGCAGATGAAGAGAGACAACAAGACAGAGAGAGTTTGTGCTTGTAAATGTGGAGCTCTGGCTGTGTGTGCTTATGATTTTGTGTGTGTGTGTGTGTGTGTGTGTGTGTGTGTGTGTGTGTGTGTGTGTGTGTGTGTGTGTGTGTGTGTGTGTGTGTGTGTGTGTGTGTGTGTGTGTGCCAGCCTGTCTGCAGAGCAGCCGCATTTACCATGAGGCTAGGAATTGAGTCCCTTAGAGACTCCCATCATAGCCAGCATTGTTTCCCCAGAGTGACATAGCTAAAGCTTAATGGGGCTGTTGATGGTGTGTTAAAGCTTGGTGTTAATTATAACACCATGCTCCGTTAAACACAGTCACATTAGCATCAGCATAAGGAACACTGCTGAGCTCTGTCCCAGGGAATAAAGTGACACTGCTGATTCAGTCAACAGTTGAATTAAATGTTGATAAAATACGCAGTTTAATGGTCATGCACTCATATGCGATCTGATGTGCTCAATAATTGAGGGTTCAGACTCTGTTTTATGGATGTCACGGTGCTAGAATTTCAAAGTCGAAACTGATGCCCAGGAACATGTGCAATACGCAATATTTTTATACCAAAAAAAGGGGAAAAGAATAAAAAGAATTAAGAGGCTTTTTTTAAGTAAAAATTAGATAATGCTGTCTGACTGATTCTGGTGACTCGGCAGTAGATTTTGTTGCTGATCAAATCAGATTTAGCAAGTGCCTCTTCTCTCTAGTTGCTGGTAGACTTTTCTCAGCTTTAGAATAGGATTTTAAGAGAGCATAGCACTTTTTAGATACATACAAATGTTTGTCCGGTTAAGTGAAAACCATCCATTAATGTTACCGACAGGCAAGACTGATAACGTTTGCTGCTCCCGCATTATCATTATCATTTTATTACTACTTGTGCCTGCTTGTCTGCAGTGGTGAAGTGTGAAACTGTATCATCTGGAGGAGGCAAAGGCAACACTGTTGGTGTCAATACTGTTGCAAATGAGTATCTAATCCGATTTGCTGTTAGTATTGATTAGTATCTGAAAACCAATTTTCTTTTGTTAGTTATTATACAGCTCTCTTGACAGATTTACATTCCTAAAGCATCTTTGCAGAGTGACTTGTAGTTTATTTCAGTGAGAAAGGAACCGTGCCTGTTGTGTGACTTCTCCTTAGTTTAATTTGTCAAATACTACTGATGAAAAAGGATGAAATGCAGTAACAGCTATCCTGATTGATTATATACTACTACTAATGATAATACTGATATATGATAAGACAGGAGGCAAAATCTGAGCGGGCCGAGTAGAAGGTGTTAAGAATTTCACTGGGGGTGAGCAGGATGGACAAGATTAGAAATGAGTGTGATGGCTCAGGTTGAGCAGTTTGGAGACAAAGTACAGAGGTAAGGCTGAGAGGGTTTGGACATGTGCAGAGGAGGGATAGTGGATACACTGGATGAAGAAGATGCAGAATATGGAGCTGTCAGCCAGGAGGAAAAGAGAAAGATCTCAGAGGAGGTTTGAGGTGTAGTGAAGGAGGACAGTGTGACAGAAGTGCATGCTAGGTACATGGCGAGATGGAGGCAGATGATCTGCTGTGACTGATCATCTGTGCATGTCTGTGCAGAGCCACTTAATGAATGTTTGCACCCTGATGTTTCCTGATGTTGATTTATACCACTGAAACAGTCAGTGCAGCTGATCTGTTGCTTACCCCGTGTCTGTTCTCAGAACTAATCTGCTTTTAAATTTATTTACAACTATTCTGAATTAAGATTACTAGTAGAAAGCAGTAAAACTTGTATATTTAATATTTCTGTCAAATCATAAATAAAAAGGTCAGCTGTGATTTGTAACTGGCTGTTATATATAGCGTCAAAGCTAAAGACTTATGTCCCATTTGTCATTTGAGGCCAGCAACCTTCACTGCCATCAACAGGTTCTGGAAGTTGGAAATTGTCCTTGCCTCACTGCATAACCTTCTCCCTACATCCCATTTCTCTAGATATTTCCAGTAATCTACCTTTTTTGTTATCAACCTGATACGCTGGAGATAAATTTGTTCTGCTGTTGGCATGACAAAGCCAAACATTATGTTGGTGCACTCAGTGATGCCTCGCTGCTAAACATGCTTTTTCTTTATACCAGATACGGCAGTACCTGATAAATAACAGCCAAGGTGAAATATTGCAGGAGGATATTAGGTGCATGTACACATGTAACTACAGCATACTCAGAGACTCATACCTGAAATGTATTTTCCCATACACGCTCAACTTATTTGCACACAAGCACAATGCCCTTTGCCTTTTATCAGCATAATATCTGCATGATTGGCTGAGGGTAGTTATTTATTTCTTTTCCAGATAATGAATTTTGTAACAAAGCAACTGCATGCATATAACTGCTTTCTTCATCTGAGTGCCTTTCCCAGGCACTGCAACAACTGCTTAAATCATGTTTGCTTTCAACGCAGCTCAGTGTTGGGGCATTGTTTCTGGTGCCGCAGAAGAGGTGGAGACTTTCGGGAGTGCAAACGAGTTTAAGCCTTTGAGCTCCCTTTTTCAGTTTGTTTTGTTTTTGTTTTTTTGGCTCATCTTCAGCTGTTCTATTTTGCCATTTCCAGAGATTACGCATGGTTCATAATTTTACAATTCTGTAGAAATTATACTAATTGAACCCTACCAAGTTAGAACAGAGTCTTTGCACATTGATGTTGTTACATGTGGGCCGGGGTGGCCACAGGTCACTCCTCGATTCAACATGCTTTGACAGGAAGCTGTGAACTTTATTTTCCCTCTGCATTCAAGCTTAACTGGTTGCATTCATAACAAATGCACTTATCACAATGCATGCTTTTAGAACATGAACTTGCATCAACAACTTATTTATATTCATGTAATTGTTTCAATACAGTCGGCTTGGTTTAGTATCTCTCACGTGAGGAACTCCTACTTTTATTTGTCAAACGGGATGTGTAATACTTTGTAAAGCTTTTGCAGTTTACACTGTGCCAAACCATCTATGAGGCTTTAAAAAATATTCCCCCATGTTTCAAATAACATTGTTTGAATCGACAAAGAGCCGTCAGTGCTTCAAAAAGGCTGTTTGGCAGGCTGTGCTTAAAGTCACTTTTGTCAAGTGATAGTTATTAAGCCTGGAATTCTAGGAAAAACAGCAGGCGGAATGCACCGTTACTCAATGAAACTACTGATAAGCGCTTATTGTCAACACTCGTGCTCATGAGTTTCATTCACAACACATTCTCCCTTTTTTTTGCATTGTTGGAGGAAGACTAAGGTAGATCTGTCTAGATCTTACTTGGTCTCCCTTGTGATTCCTGACCTTTCTTCATAGCGTGTTTTAGAGCATCATAATTAGTTACAACCTGCAGAACACCACAGGGGGAGACGAGGGCAGTCTATTAGGAACAACCTTGCTCAGTGAAATTGTCACTGTCGGCTTCCTGAGGTTGCATGGTTTAATGCTGCAGTTTCACGCTGCCTGCCTTGTTTCTTTTTAAGGACAGAGAGCCATGGGGGAAGAGAGGGATGGCGGTTATTAGTGATTTCTCATGTCAGTGATTTTAAGGCCACCCAGGGGAGACAGCTTGATAGGCAGGCCGCAAGGTGCTGAGATTTGAAGTGCTTGGAGAACAAGGAGGAGGATCTGAAATCAATTTTCTTGCTTAGCTGTTTTCACCGTTTGCTGCTTCGATCATGCGCTAAAAGTTTAAATTTCCTTGAAGTTGTTGCTTGATAAGTCAAGCTGATCTTACTATAAAAGCTACAAAGTGTCAAGGTGTTAAAGTCCTTCTACAAGTTTCTCTGTCCTCTGCTGCTGGACATCTGTCTCTCCTTTTCTCTGCTGTTCACTCCATTAATTTTAACCTGTTCTTTTGATTCGGTCAGCCTCTGCCTGTATTCTCTCTTTTTATATAGCTCTGCGAGAGGAATCGCATCAAAGGTTCCACTGAGGGAAATGAGTTGTTGTGCAAGGAGAGGAGGTCATATTTACCAGCACATGGAAATGTGTGTAATAGTGATGTTTTTGCTAAATCTGTCCAGTTCAGTCAAACTTACATGAAGCCACTCACAGCTAGCTCAGGGTAAATGGGTGAATGTGTTCTTGTGTGTATTTCTTTATGACCTGTTAAATAAAAAAAAATGCTTTAATTGTCTGTGCTTTAGAAGTGAAATTATCTTGCCTTCACTTGCTCAAGAAGAAATATAATTCCTAATTAGAGGCCTTTTTAACTGATAATATCTTCATTTATTCTCCACATAGGTAATTGGCCAGCTTCCGTGGGATTTGATGTCACCTTTAGATTGGTTTAACTGAAGATGGAAACACTGGAGTCTGAGCTGACCTGCCCGATCTGCCTGGAGTTGTTTGAAGATCCTCTGCTCTTGCCTTGTGCCCACAGTCTGTGCTTTAACTGTGCTCACCGCATCCTGGTGTCTCACTGCTCCACCAGCAAGCCCCTCGAATCCATTTCTGCCTTTCAGTGTCCCACCTGTCGTTACGTCATCACGCTGAATCACCGCGGCCTGGAGGGCCTTAAGCGCAATGTGACGTTGCAGAACATCATTGACCGCTTTCAAAAGGCCTCCCTTAGCGGCCCCAATTCTCCCACCGAGAGCCGTCGCCTGCAGCCGCAGCGACCCTACACCGCCACCATTAGCGGTACAATAGCTGGAACGATTGGCGGCGGCGGTGGCACAAGTGGAGGCAGCGCTCGTAGCAGCCCGGCCACTTCCAGCCACTCCCACCAGCACGCCAACCACACCAATCACATCAACCACACCAACGCTAACCACAGCCCAGCTGTTGTTGCTAAAATGGATCCACGGATCAGCTGCCAGTTCTGTGAGCAGGATCCGCCACGCGAGGCCGTCAAGACTTGCGTCACATGTGAGGTATCGTACTGTGACCGCTGCCTGCGTGCAACACACCCCAACAAGAAGCCCTTCACCAGCCACCGCTTGGTGGAGCCAGTGCCAGACACCCACATCCGTGGCTTGACCTGCCTGGAGCATGAGAACGAGAAGGTCAACATGTACTGCTTGGTGGATGACCAGCTCATTTGTGCCCTCTGCAAGCTCGTGGGACGCCACAGAGAGCACCAGGTGTCCTCCCTCACTGAACGTTTTGACAAGCTCAAGGTTAGTCCCTAATAAGGTCATCACCAACAATTTCAGTGCACTGCCCCGATTTTGTGTTTTTTCACTTCTGTGTTTGTGGAGTACGGTGAGTCACAACCTGCAACTAATTTGACTAAAACATTGTGATTTACTGCTAAAGCTGTTCTCGTCTGAACACAGATGTCTCATACAACATGCACCATTTATTATAATACATTTGTTTGCAGTTTGCTACACAATAAAATCATTAATCCGGTCACTCTTGCCTTGGGAATGGGCAATTTTGTTGACTGTGAACTTTCACTGCCATAAATATTGCATCATACACAGCCTTTATTCTGCAAGAAGGGCTGAAAGACAGATCAAAAAGAGAGAGAGAGAGAGAAAGAGAGGGACAATTGGAATAGTGTGCTGGTGAGAAGGGCAGAGAGAGAAGGAGACCAATAGGGAGGGCCGTCATTATAATAGTCGATGAGCTGGCATTCCCTGTGGCCACTGAGCTTTTTCAGAGGCCATGAGTAAAGACTGGGACTGCTGAATCAGGGTGAAAAACAACAGAGAAAGGCACAAGCTGGAGCTAATTCCATCACTAAAGGCCTAAAGGAGTCAGCATCATTCAGCTGGCCTAAAAACTTTTATCATGAGTTTGTATTGAGCACATGTGTGTGTCTTTTGTGTTAGAATCCTTTTCTAAAGAGAAATTGTTTTTCTAACTTGTATTTGTTTACTAATGAACCTATGACTAACTCATACTAGGTGTGTCTTTAGTGGAGACGGTTGATCTGCACTCATACAGCCGTGTCAGGACATTTATGTACTGTGGGATGGTATAATAACACCTTAAATTTCTGACGCAGAGCAAATTAAACTGACAGGCGGAGGGGTCGAAATAAAGCAAACCTTGCAGCCTCCAAAACTTTAGAAAGTAAGCATTTTGTATGCCAATAAATGATTAGCATGTCCTGGTGTCAGAGAGGAGCCTGTCAACTCTCATATTTGTTGGACACGTCTAGTATACGTTCACAGAGCTCCATGGTACTACATTTCAGTGTATCTCAACACACCAATTTTGTATTCTACATCAATTCAACAACTTTTCTTGAAAAGTTAAATGTTTATTAAAGTGGATTTTTAAGGCGAAAGGAGCCAGCTAAAGTAGTTTCAGCACCTGATGACTCATGGATGTCTTACTGGGAGGAAGTGCTGGGGTAGACCCAAGATTGTATCTCTTGGCTGGCCTGGGAACATCCCGGGGTTCCCCCGGATGATGTGGTAGAGGTGGCTAGTGAGAGGAAGTTCTGGGCTTCCCTACTTAGGCTGCTCCCTTGACCTGGACGTGGATGAGAAGCAGTAAATGGATGGATGTATTATCAAGGTGGTAGACCACTAAATTAGCAGAATCAAGCAGTGAAACCAGTACTTGTTAATATTCAATTTGCAGATACTCAATTTGCTGAATTCTTAATAACGATTCAGGCTCATGTATTTGGCCTGTAGACTGTTAGAGATAACTTGACTAGAGGTAACTTTGTGCACGTATTTGCCCATACTTTAAACTCATTCCAGGGGTGCATGGGTGTTGCCATGATTTGATTTTTGTCAAATAAATTGAATTGTGCTGCACTCAGAAAGAAACGAACACCTTAGCAGAAGAGTCGGTGAAGTTTAAGTGCAGTTCTGTAGGTGGATGTTGCGATGTTTCACATAGAAAAAACAGGGATGTATTTCTGTGGCCTCACAGCACATTTGGCCTTTGTGTCACTCTACTGTGCAAAAAGGCTGGGCGTAAGAGTACATTTCAGGAGACATCATTAACATTCATGTGCAACAAAACTCTATCTCATCAGGTCTCTGAGGTGAACACAGCACCAGTGATTGCTTTGAATCCATCTATTTGAATTCAGTGAAAATGCAGGTCCACAGTCTGCATTACAGATGAGCGCTGCCAAACTTTGGCTGCCTCCTACAGTTTTGCACCAGCATGTCACCCAAATTCCTCCTTTCACAGATTTAACCCTGTGGTGTTTATTTACACTAGTGTTAGCCCGCTCATTCTTTTCAAGCTGTGGGAGAGTTTACTGTAAGTAGTTAGTCCCGCTTCCTTTCTGATTCAAAGCTGGCTGTGGCTCGTTTAAACGTTCCCCAGCCAAGGCTTTGAAGTTTCTTGACTTTGAAATCCTCAATCAAGCCCAAGTCAAGGAGTAGGCCATCCATATTCCAAGCTCCAGCTCAGCTCACAAGTGGCAGTAGCAGTTAACTTAAAATCTTCTCCCTGCTCATGACAAGTGCGTGTGACTTCCACTGGTTTGAGTTGAGTTTTTAATCATATGTTACTGATGTTATTGACCAGTCTTCTGCAATTCCCCAGCGAACCTGGCTGTTAATCAGCACCACTAAATAATTGCACTCAGTTGCCCTTTTGACCCCTAAATCCATCCGTTTGATTTTTGACTTCTGAATTAGCCTTCATATTATTTCCTCCTCCTGCTGTGTACGCTGGGAGCTACACTGCCACTCAATTATGTCTTTCACATTAAGGGGGAAAGGTAAGCTTCCCTTGGGCAAGCAGGGTGCATATTATAGGAGCAAAAATGGCAACAAGTGCAAGCACTGTTAAAGCCAGAAATGTGGCACTACAGAACTGCAGGATAGTGAGTTAATTCTCCAGGCAGCTGTTAAGCAGAGCTCTTGCTTAGAAGCACAGACATCGGTGTCGCATAATCTCCAGATGTCAGTAATAGCATTTTCTTAAAGGACTACAACTTCAAGGTGCTACTCTTTGCATTTTTGTTTCTGCACATTCGCTGAAATTACTGCTAACGAAGAGATGCTCTGTCGTAGCAGTGAATATCTCATCACCTGCTGCTTTGGAAGTGTTTATAGCCGCCTCATTAGAATGTAATTTAGATAAATTTCGTAGCAGCCTGACATCCCCCCTCAGATGCTGGGTAACCAAATCAAGAAGCTGAAGTGTGCACTCAGCACCAGCTTTCAGTCTCGCATGTTTGATGTGACACTGGGAGGTGATGAAGTCTAAGATGAAAGCACGCAAAAGGTCCACAGCATCAGTGGTTACTGGCCACGGCTTTAGAGGTGTCCATTCATGTTCTCCATGTTACAAAAGCTCATAGCTTCTGTTGTAATTAATGCCATCAAGTGTGTGTTAATTGAGTTTTGCAACATACTCCTATTACTGCTAAGAGTCATCTTTGCAATATGAAAGGAGCTGGAGGCAACACTTAGCTTCCCTTAGCACGAACACTTATTCTGTGTTTTGAAACACCAGTGAACGCAGAAATATTCCAACAAAGGACATTTTGTTGGTGATTACTGGTTAAGCTCGTGCTGTCCAGACATAATACATACTGTGTGGTTAAACAGAACGGCATAACCGGTGCTGGTGAGAGAAAGAGACAGTTTATGTGTCAAGTTCATTTTCCACTTCCAGCATTAAGAGAAGTAGCATTACACAATAACAGCAGGAAAGCTTCTTCGCTCCCAGTAATCAGCCACCATATGTAGATGGATATCAAATGAATTTTTTAAGTGTATTTAGTCATAAAAGCCATAATAGCAGGAACCTTCACCATCAAACACACAGTCAAACAAAAAGGTAGAGAAAAGAAAAACTACTGCCTCTGCAATCAAACGGCGAACTCTACTTTTAAAACAAACCAATGGACAGAAATGCCCTCCTTGTGTTGAGATAATCATTATTCATATTAAACATTACACACAGACAAATTCCAAAGAGGTCAGAAATACTGAGGGTAGGTGCTCACCCTACCACTCAGACATGTCTTACGTGTTGGATACATGCAGAGATGCATTAATCTATTGCAAGGCAGGTTAAATTAAATATGGATCTTTTATAATGATGATGATAACATAAATTCAATGTATTAATTAGATAAAACGTTTACAAAAAACAAGGTTTTGGCAATTTTTCTAAGCATAATTGATCCCATTAATTGCAAGAAGGTTTTAAAATGTAAGAAATGACATAGACTACAGAAAAAAAGATTTCTGGAAAGTCAATTAAATGACCTTTGTCATTGTTGGGCAAACAAATTCCCTTTTTGGTGACATAAAAACTGGGGGTAAAGAAGTAGCAAAGCCTAAAGATGAAGTTGCAAATCAGCTACAGAGCCAATTTTCAAAAGGCAAGAGCCTGAGTGAAGCTTAAGCCCAACCAGATGTGTTCGTGATGAGCGGTAACACGCTAGATCATACTGTGTTCAACATGTGGTGACTGAAAGGAGCAGATCAAAAAGAAACAAAGACTGAAGGAACTGATGAGAAACGGATTACATTACAAGTATAAGTCTTCTTCCTCTCAGCTACAAATGCTGGCACTTAATTTACTCACTCTCAGGCTCTTGGATGTTTGAATTGTGTGCGCTTTAACGTCTAGAAGAGAGCGAATCAGCTGAATTGGTGACGAAACCTATAGCAGCGCTGACATTTGTGACGGACTGTCTGGCTATCACGTGTACTAACGCTACAGCAGTGCTGTTTTTCTTTTTTGTCTGTTATGTGCGGTTGTGTGTACGATGGCCTTCATAGGTCTGCAGGTCTCACATGGAGCTGAACGGGATGATAGTCTGTTATGTACACGAGAAGAATGAAGAAATATGCAAAACATTTCCAAGCGATTATTGGATTAATTCCAGTTTAGGCTCAGGCAAGTCTGTCACCAACCCCACCCTTCCCATCCCTGCCCTCAGACTCTCCCCTCTCTTCATTTTTCTCAGTCCCTGTAGCCTTGCTTCTTTTTCCTTTATCCCCACTGTTTTTTTTCACCCCCCCCCTCCCACAACCAGCACCACCCTTAAATCTTTTGCCCCCCCCTCAAGCTCCTTTAAGGCATTTACTAACTTTTTTCTGTGTGATGGGCGCATCATGTCAGCCGCTATGCTAAATCCAGAGGGAGGCAAGCACATGCATACAGATTTGTCATCCAATCACATAAAAATCATCTAGCACGTAGAACATTAAGAGTCTTTTACACACACGGTCAG